AAAAAGAGAGAGATTAAAGGCAATAAATTTCAAAAGATGCCATTTTTTACTAAAAGGTTTCAAAATGTCTTCTTAATCTTGAAGCAACAAATGTTTGGTTTATGTTTTACCTTTTCAAATGGAAATCAATGCATTAATGGCACCATTAATCATCAAAGGGCACATCATGATACTTCCTTACAAACAATTCAACCCTACCACTGTATAGGTTTTCTCAAGTTACGATTGGATATAAGCAATACAACAAGCCACAGAATAACACAGAACTCTTCAAATTAGGACCTTGGTTTCTTTAACAAACCAAAAGAATTCATATGAAGGGATTAACTGAGAAACATATATTTAATAGTACCGACAAGATAATGGGAAAAAAGATAATATGAACTATTCTTCATAAGAAACTCTTTTGTTGTAAAGTGAACTTCAAACAATTCCTTTGATTTCTTTCAAAAAGCCCATTCTTCTAGAAGGCGTATTTTGGATCTTAGATTTGGCTAGAAATTTGAAAAGAGAATGTAATGAAAATATGAGCGAAATTTTTTCTCCTTTCTCTTTCCAAATCCTTAGCAAACAATGACCAAACATACGCGTTAGTGTATTTTGATTAAAGCTTTTCAACATTACCTGAAGGCTGGAGAGTAGGTTCCAAGGCTGTACCAGTTGTCCAATGTGTTGTTGGGTTGGGTCAACTAGAAATGAACCTATATTTGGGCTGTAATCGGCACATTGTGACTGTTCTCAAACCATGATCTGGATTCCCAGGCATAACAATCCCAAAACTTTTGCCATTAAGCCAAGCAATGGCCCCCTAATTTAAAATATAATTCCTTGTGTAACTTTGGATATTGTATCCACTACTGATATTTTCATTTTTTTCTAGCTTTTGATGGTAATGTCTCTTATTGACATCTTCTTCCATTTTTATATAGAATGGGACAAAGAAATCTATCAGTAAGCTTGTCTCCGGACTTGAATAGTGCGAAGTTGGAGCCTGATGTTGGTGAGTCATTGCTCCCTTCAATAGAATATCTAAATATCAGGTAATATCTTTTTTATGATTTTTGTCCTACACTCATTGCCCTCAAAACAAGGCATCTCCTTTTAAAAAATACAACCCCCCCCCCTGAAAAGTGAATATGAAAAAGGTCAACTACCGATCTAACATCATTGGGTTAGTGAAACTGATGATGAGTACCAAGTTCTCGGATCTTCAGCTAGATTGTTTGAAGAAAACGCCATTTTGGCAGTTGTTTAATGTGTTGAAGGTCAGTAAAGTTGACATTAACAAATGCATGAAGTTCAATGATGTCATCGTATGCGTGCTAGAGACATACAAGGCATCCAAAGACACATTTTACATCGGTGAGAAAAATACGAATATAAATTTTACATCCTTTGTGATTTTGTAAATATTAGAATACATTGGACAAAAAAATCATAATTAGTTATTTTAATTGTGCTTAATAAGACACAATGGTATGTTGTCATAAGATTTGCTACTAGAAAGTCAATGTTAACATTCATATTAGTTTATGTTATTTTATAATTATGTATACATAACCATTGGCTTAATGTGACTAAATTAATTCATTTGATATTTTATTCGTGGTGTTAACATTCACATAAATAATCTGTTTGTATTTTTATCTTATTTTGATCTTATATTATTATTATTATTATTTTTCATATCTTTCTATAAAAAATAACAAATTAATAAAATGGAAAATTTATTAGAAAATTCTTTTTCAAATGTTTGTATTCCAATTAGTCCATAAGATATTCTTATATTTTAATAAGTCCTATTATTTGGACATTTGATCTACCAAATCATAATTCTCACATTTAAAATATTTTATGGACATTTCTATCCTTACAAATATTTTTTGAACGTTTAGCAATTTGGTGATGTGAACATTTATATTTTATAATGTGAATATTCACATCACAGAACATTCACAATGTAAATGTAAATATTATTAGGGGTAATTTGGTAACTATGTCACTTATAAGACTTATTGGAACCTAAGAAAATAATGTAGACTAAATGGAACATAAGTAGGTGAAAAAGGGTTTATGAAAAAATGTCTCTAATAAAATAGTGTATTCCCAAATAATTTCTTACTTTGCATTAAATATGTTGAGCTTTATAAATTTTACTTAAGAAAAATGATATACAAACCTACTTTTTAGTCTTATTTTTTAGACCTAATGATATATGAGTGATATGATTGATTGATGATTAGAGAATATATGAGAAAAAGTGTTATCTTTAATATTTTAATTGATTATCATATCATTAGACTTAAAAATTAGATTTAATTCTTGATTTTGAATAGCAAATGCTCTTTACATAATTACTAAAGATTGATGAAAAATATATGCGTTTTTTATTTTAAAATTAAACTTTTTGATAATTTAATGAATAAAGGAAAGTTTGAGGAATGAGAAAATTGTTTAACAATATAAAAACAATTCAAGAATTATTAAATGTTACCGAAGGATATTCTTAAAAAACAAAATGATAATAATATAACAGTAATATTATGAATGTAAAGACTAAAAGCAAAATAAAACATAGATATCTTACAATTAGTGGTTTCATATGTGTGAGTCTTACCTTTTGTGTGAAACATATATGTCTATTCAGTGTGTCGCTTTTGTGCATTTAAATTTATTGAAATAAATAATATTTTCTTTTGCATTGATGTCACTAAATTGTAATTTATCCTTAATTATTTTAAATTTTAAATTTTAAATGACAAATTTAACATTAATTAAAGATAAATTATATATTTTAGTACAAAATTAATTGATATCTCACATTCTATTCATCTTATTAACCACTAACTCAAGACAATAGAATAAGTATGATTCAAATTAAATTATGCAGAAAATGATGTAATTATATTAAATTTACAAAATTATTATATATCTAAATGTCTATATAATTTTACATTATTATTTTTAGTTAATTTATTTTGGTCTTTAATAAAAAAAATTAAAAACTTAAAAAATTTTAGAATTATTTTATAAACAAAGGACCCCTAAGCGACGTGCGGTGCGAGCAGTGAGATTGGCAAATCTTGTTTCAGTGAAAATATCAATGATGACGGGACGACAAATAAAAAGAACGACTTTGGACTTGATACGTCGTCGTCTCTTTATCTTCTAATTTCCTCTGTCTTTCGCGACATTTTTTATGCACATCATCATCAGATAATAATCTGAACCATTCTAAAGCTGCCACGTAGTTCAACTAACATGAGGAAAACGGATTTGGATGTGGTGATTGGAGACACAGTGGGAGTCTGTGGTGGAGAGCCAAGGGGCACCGTACACGTGGCACCTTATCCATCAAAACCAAAGATTAAGGTCAAATCATAGGTTGGTCGAAACATTGATCCGTGCACATCTTAAGTGAAGAGGTCAAAGGTTGGGCCGGCCAAGGACGAGGTAGATGCCCACCTAACTTGTTGGACGGCCTTGAGAGACCAAACGGTATAGACTCGTTTGGTTTGCAGGTAATGTAACTAACCGTTGATATAAAAGATTGGGGTAGTATTAGGAATTTTAAATCTTCGTTTAGTATTTGAGGTTTTTTAATTTTTAATTATTTTAATTATAAAAAGATAAAATATAATTTTTAATTTAATAAGATAAAATATCACATTTAAATTATAATTATTTTATTTTTTCTCTCACAAAATTTAAAAAAGTCAAAAAATTTATCCTAAACGAGACTTTTTAACCTCAGACTAAAATAGCCAAAAAGTCAACTCACATTCCAAACAAATCCTAAATATTTATTAATATTTTTATTAAATATTTTATGTAAACGTGGAACTTACATGGGATTTATATAGTGTGAGTTTCAGACATTTAGTAAAAATATTGATAAAAAAAATACTTGAGATTTTCAAAGTTGGGGACTCGCATGACAACCAAAATGATGTGAATCAATAATGTTTTTTTTTTTTTTTTCCTTCCTGGACCAATCACAGATGAGTGAGATTGTGAATTTTGTATTTTTTAGAGATCTGTAACATTGTTGATTAGTAAAATATTTGGAGTCTTTTGCATTTTCGTAGGATTGGGCTCCCTTAGGTCCAAGTATTTGTACTGGGTGGGTGATCTTCTCGGGAGACTTATAATGAGTC